GGAGGAGTCAGTGTCACCCACAGCACTTCACAGTTTGTCAGGGGCTTTGCAGCCTCCATGGGGATACTGTCAAACAGGGCTGGAAAGACCACTGTTGGAGGCAAGCAGAGGCCTCAGTGGCCGGGGCGCCAATGGCCTGCTTTAACACTGAGTCCATTTTCAAGGGCTGCCAGTCTTCTGAGCCAAAACAAATTGACAGCCTCTCTCTGAGGAACGGAGCTGGAACTAGGAGCCCCACTTGACAGATGGATAAACTGAGGCCCTGAGAGGTTAGGTGGCTTGGCAGTCCCCAGAGACTAAGAGTCTGGGGCAGCCTGACTCCAGGCCCAGTGTCCTTCCTGCTTGTCCTCTCAGCACAGCTCATTTCTCATAGGCCCTTCTGCCTTCGGCCACCATGCTTCCCAGCACCTGCCCCACGCCCACCCCACCCTGGCTCCACCCGGAAGCCGTCTCTGAGAACAGGAAGGGGTTGTTCCAAACTTCCTCCATCCAACTCCTGCCCTAGCTCTCCCCGGCTGCTCGGGACGGGGGCCGGAGCACCAGCCACCACTCTTTACCTGTTCAACCTCCCTTCACACCACTGTCCACTGTACCAAAGACAGCGGTCCACTCAGAAGACGTGGAATCATCACTCATGGCTGTGTGTGCAGCCGGCCCAGGCCACCATCACCTCCTGCTTGGACCACTGCAGTAGCCTCCTCAGTGGTCTCCCTACTGCTACCCTCCCCCTCCCCCTCCCCCTGACACACATGCTCCATTCTCCCCATAGCAGACCCCGGGGCTTCCCACCACACTGAGCCTCACGTGACGTGGCTGAGCTGCCTCTCCAACCTTAGTTCTTACACACTCCCATCCCCCCACGGTCCAGCACCTTGCCTTTCGGTTCATCACACACACACCAGGCTCACTCCCACCTGGGGGCTTTTGCACCAGCTGTTCCTTCTGCAGATCAGGCTTTTCCCTGCTCCCTGCGCTGCACAGCTGGCTCCTACCTCTCATTCAGAGCTCAGCACCACCACCTGTCACTGTCCCATCCTGGTTAAATGTCCTGCGTCACACTCATAGTTGCCTTGTTTCTTGGTTTGCCGTGCATCGCAGAATCCCCAGTGCCTAGCATGTGGCAGGTGTTCCATAAATACTTGCGAACTGAATTAAGGAATGAATGAATGACATCTCACTGGCACTGTGTAAGCAGAGCAGAAGGTGCCTGCCCTCGTGAAGTTCACAGTTGAGCTGGGCGTTTACCCAACTTCACACACACTGTCTGGTCCCAGAGCTGCCGGGAACCACGGGCCACACACCGGCAACCTATGGGCAAACCTGTGGGTTGAATCTGACCCACAAAGAATTTTGTTTGACTCATTCCATGTTTCAAAAAAATTTGAGTTAACATTTAAAAATGGCAGATCTGAGCCAGCCCCGTGGCTTAGCGGTTAAGTGTGCGCGCTCCGCTACTGGCAGCCCCAGGTTCGGATCCCGGGCGCACACCAACGCACCACTTCTCTGGCCATGCTGAGGCCACGTCCCACATACAGCAACTAGAAGGATGTGCAGCTATGACATACAACTATCTACCTTTGGGGGCTTTGGGGGAAAAAAAAAGGAGGAGGATTGGCAATAGATGTTAGCTCAGAGCCAGTCTTCCTCAGCAAAAAAAGAGGAGGATTAGCATGGATGTTAGCTCAGGGCTGATCTTCCTCAGAAAAAAATAATAAATAAATAAATAAATAAAACAAAATAAAAATGGCAGATTTCACATACAAATCTGGATTTCCAGCTTCTCTTGGAAAATGGACAGATGTGGCCATGTTGGGTTTCTGTGCTCGAATGACATGATTGTCACTGCCCCTTTCAAGAGGCACATTCTCCATAGTCCCCACCACTCTCTAGTGTCTCCCTGACAGCCAGTTGCCTTTCATCACCAAACTTGCACTGTTTTCTTTGTAATAAAGAAATATGGGGGGCCGGCTGGGTGGCGCAAGTGGGTAAGTGCGCGCGCTCCTCTGCGGCGGCCTGGGATTTGCCGGTTCAGATCCCGGGCGCGCACCGATGCACTGCTTGGCGAGCCATGCTGTGGCGGCGTCCCATATAAAGTGGAGGAAGATGGGCACGGATGTTAGCCCAGGGCCAGTCTTCCTCAGCAAAGAAAGAGGAGGATTGGCAGATGTTAGCACAGGGCTGATCTCCTCACAAAAAAACAAAAAGGGGCCAGCCCCATAGCATAGTGGTTAAGTGCATGCGCTCCGCTGCTGGCAGCCCGGGTTTGGATCCCGGATGCGCACAGATGCAGCGTTTGTCAGGCCATGCTGTGGCGGCGTCCCATATAAAGCAGAGGAAGATGGGCACGGATGTTAGCCCAGGGCCAGTCTCCCTCAGCTAAAAAAGAGGAGGATTGGCATCGAATGTTAGCTCAGGGCTGATCTTCCTCACACAAAAAAAATAATAATGAAAAAAATAAAAAAAAGAAATATGCTGTATTTATGTATCTATGCTTCTACCAAAAGTTGGAAGATGAAAGGCTGAATGGGTTACAAGAGTCAAGAGAAATAAGTCCAATGAAGTCTATACAGAAATTGATAAACAATAATGTACGCCCCAAATCACACAATGTTATAAACCATTATGATCTCAATAAAACAATTGAAAAAAAAGAAATAGGATATTCCTTCATTCAACAAATATTTATTGATAACCCACTATGCGCCAGGCACAGTTGCAGACACTGGAGAGAGAGCAGTGGATGAATATCCCTCCCTCCTCCGGCCTCATTCCATACACTGTGTAACTTTCTTTCCACAAGTGGAGACATCTGAGTTGCTCCCCCATGAGAAAGACTGCCTCTCGTGTTCAGGGTCATCATCTGAGGACTTCATCACAGCATTCACTAAGCACCTCCTGTGTATCAGCCCCTGCCAGGGTCTGGCACAACCAAAGAGGAAATATTTGTTTTTTGTTTTTTTTTTTTAAAGATTTTATTTATTTTATTTTTTCCCCCCAAAGCCCCAGTAGATAGTTGTATGTCATAGCTGCACATCCTTCTAGTTGCTGTATGTGGGACTCGGCCTCAGGATGGACGGAGAAGTGGTGCCTCAATGCGCACCCGGGATCCGAACCCCGGGCCACCAGCATTGCAGTGCGCGCACTTAACCACCAAGCCACAGGGCCGGCCCCGAGGAAATATTTGTTGAATGAATGAACTCAATTCACCCCTCTCCTAGACAGACCGTGTTAGTCAATGTTGTTTCTCCAGGATGTATTCAAAAGATAAGCTCGAAGTAGGCGCTCACTTAACGTCAGTTGAACGAAAGGGTCCAGGGTAAGAGTGGAGGGTTGACAAGCGTAATGTGGGCAGGGTGAGGGCAGAGCCCTGGGGAAGGCGGTACACATTATGGCCCCTGCCAGGGCTCACATCACCCTCACAGTGACCCCAGGAGGTAGATAAGATTCTCAGGTAACAGACAAAGGAATAGACTGGAAAGGAAAGCTCCTTGGCCAAACTCACAGGCTCCAGGAAGGAGTGAGGAGGAGGCCCATCTGCCCCCAAAGTCCACGCTCTCCCCACCCACCCAGGGGGCGCTCCACAGAAGTCCTGGGGGCGATGTAAAGAGCCTCTGGAGATCTCTCCCCTTGAAAAACCATCCTCTTCCCCCAGATGCCTGAAGTCCACCATCACCTGGCTGCTCCTTTTTGACGCCTGACTTTTGAACTGTGTGAATTCATTTATCAGACTCATTTCCTCCTAATCTGTTCCAGCAAACATTTAATATGTAAGAAAGGCGTATGTCTGGCAGGGACTCTGAAATGTTAGATTATTTTATATGGAGGGACAGGGGAGCTAAAAAGAGGAGAAGGGTCCTATTTCTTGGGTAAGAAAAGCCCAGCTGTGGCCAGTGGCTAAAGTATCCAGTAAATGAGCCTCCTGGAGGCCACCGAGCGCTCCCCAGCTTCTGAGGAGGGTGGGCATCCCTCCAGCTGGGCCTGGAGACTGGGCAGAGCAGGATCAATGGTTGGAGGGGGCACCCAGGCTGAACCACAGCCAAGGGCGGGCTATGAGGGGAGCGGACACGAGCCCTCTGCGGTGGCTGCAGCCGGGCAAAATAGGTTGGGCCTGACTTCTTCAGTGGTCCTTGGGCCTCGGTTCCCCTCTGGCCTTGCTGCACCTGAAATCTGGCCATTTGGGACAAGGATGAGGGGTTCTGCGGACGTGTAAGCCCCAATGACTAAGGCTATGGGGTCTTTCAGGATCTCAGTGGCCTCAGAGCGGTTTACACGCCTCTTCCTTCACGAAGCCTTCCCCACTTCGCCGGCCAGAAGGCGGGCTCTGGGCAGCGCTCAGCGCCTGGTGCCCAGCGGGCGCTCTCCGCGTTATGTTGCGCCGCGTGCGTCCCGCCCGCGTCCCCCGCCCACCGGCCGGCGCGCTCCCGCTGCCCCGCGTGCCTTCCCGCACGGAGCCGGCGCCCAGAAATACCTCTGGGCTGAACCACGAATTGCTCAGCCAGGCCTTTGGGATCCGGGCCGCCGCGACCCAGACCTGGTTCAACAAGTGTGGGCCGGGCCGCCCGTTCCCGCCCGACGGCTTCGCGCCTCCCCAGGGGCCCGGACGCGCCGGGCCGGGCGCAGGAGGGCGAGTTTCATTTCATCACCTGCAGAGCGTGCGAGCGCCGGTGCAAATAACGTTGCCCCCTCCCTCCCCTCTGCTCCCTCCGAAACTCCCGTTTGCGGACGCTAGCACTCCCGGCAGGGAGGTCCCCGGCGGGCGGCGGCCCGACCAGCTGGGCAGCCGGGCGCTGGTGCCCCGCGCCCTCTCCCCGCCCCCACCCGGCCACCGCGCCCAGGCCGCGAGGCCACCTCACCGGCAGCGGAATGGAAACCGGTTCGACAGGTAACAAATAGGTGGGTTGTCACCGTTATTTCCCAACGCATGCGCCGTTGCTCCCCGGGCCACTCCAAGCTAATTAGCTCAGATCACCCCCCCTCCCCGCCCCAGCCACCAACACACACCGCCGCGAGCCAATAAAGCGTGAACCCGTCCGTCCGGCTCGCACTTTAAGACTTCCCGAGCGGCCGCGGGGGACGCCAGTCGAGCCAGGAGACGCTTACCTGCCGCTTCGCCCGCCGCCCGGTGCACCTGGCTGCAAGGGACCTCGTCCGGACGGAGGACGGCGACAGCTCCGCGGACTTGGAAACGGGCGCGCGCCGTCCCGGGCACGGTCTCTGCGGAACGTGGGGGCGCTTTGGCGGCTCCTTCCCTGAATTGTCCCCCGCCCGCCTCCAGCCCGGCCCGGGAAAGGTGGGACGGCTGCCGGCTCTAGCGACGGAAGCGGACGGTGCCCGACGAGGAGGGTTCGAAAATGCCCCGCGCGTTTCTGGTGAAGAAGCCGTGCGTCTCCACGTGCAAGAGGAACTGGAGCGAGCTCCCGGACGAGGAGCGCGGCGAGATCTACGTGCCAGGTGAGGCGCCCAGCCCGCGATCCCCGAGGCCCCCGCCGCCCTGGACGGAGCCTGGGGCGCCCGAGCGGGCAGCGGGGCCCGTCGAGGCGGCGGGCGTGCGGGGCGCAGGGACGCGGAACCGGCGGCCGGCGCAGCGGGGGCGCCCGATTTAATGTTTAAGCGGCCGCGGCCCCGTTAGCCCGAGGCGCCGCGACTTCGGGCGCGGGGGGAGGGGACGGCAGGGCCGGCCGAAGGGTGGGGGCGGGGGCCGCCAGGTCGGGGTGAGAGCCGTTCCCAGGTCCCGCGGCGGGCCGGGGGCAGGCCGGTCCGAGGCGCGCGGGCCCGCCCTCCCCTCCACCGGCCCGAGCCGCGGCGCAGGGGAGGCAACGGGGTGTGTCACCGCTCAGGCGACCCTCCACTCTCACGTCGTAAATCCAGAAAGCCGGGACTTTTATGAGGCGGGAGGAGGGCACTGGAGCGATGCCACTCTGGGGGCAGGGAGCGAGCTGGAGTTTCGGCCGAGATTCGTGCAAAATGTAAGAGAAGACTCGCGAGTTTAAGCCGCCTTCATTGATCGCTCCCGCTCCCCCCCAACACTGGTGGCCAGAAGGTCGCGGTGAGGCTCGGGCCGGTGGGGGTCCCGGCCGGCGGCCCCACAGGGGGCGCGGAGACTGTGGGGCAGCTGCACGCCGCTTGCCCTGAAGACGAGATGGGATCAGGTCTCACGTCTGTTAGAAACGCGCCTCCTCCAACCTTGCAGCGGACACAATTGAGCAGAAAGTGGTTTTAAGGAGCCCACCCCACAGCCAGGGGCCCAGGCCCGGGGGAAGCTGGTGCACCCAGTTTATTTTTGGAAGACGCCTCACAGCGTCCCAGGCAACTTTGAATGAGTAACCCGAGTTGTTTCTTCCTCCAGTGCATCTTCCTCTGTCAGCCCTGAGAACACTTGTGCTCCTTCTGTCCTCCCCCACCCCCAACAAAATCTTCGGTCAGGAGAAAGCCCGTTTCCTTTGGAACTCCCCCTCCCCAGGCCTGGGGGTGGGGCGGGGGATGCGCTGAACTCCCTGCCCAGCACCTCCAAGGGGGAGAGGTTGTAATTAACCAACCGACTTTGACCCTTGATCTGCTGGCTCCCTGGCACCGCCCCAGGCCTTGTAGGAAAGTGGCGAATTGAGGGCGGAGAGGGGCTCTGTGAGGGCTCTTGCCTCAGTTTCTCTCCTGCATAAATTGATGGAGACAGTGGGTGCAGTGGTGAGGTCTTTGTGGCCTGACCCGCCCGGATCCAGTGGCCTCTGCCGCTGGCCGGATGTTTCACAGCTCACGCTTATCTCAAGCGCCTAGGCCCCTTTTCTACAGCCTCCTTAAAACAAAGGAATGTGCCAGAGGTCCCTGATGACCCCAGCGGGGAAACTGAGACAAAAAGGGAAGTGAGCTGCCGCCTCACCTGGGTGGATTAGGGTGTGGACCTGGGCTTCTGTTTATAGTTTGTTGCTTTGCCAAGTTCCCTGGCAAGCTGACTGGTGTTCCACCTCCAGAGGGGCGGCTCGTGGGCCGCGAGCCCCCTTCCTCGCTCCTGCCTCCTCCCTTACCTGTGTTTGACTTGCTGCTTAGCTGCTCCTTGGGATCTGATAAACTGAACTTGGACTGTGTTAAAGGTGAGCTGAGCCTTGCTCAGGACTCAGTGTGCTGTTATTTTTAGTTTTATTTCACATCCCAATCAGTAACAGATCATGTGTTGACTTTTACAAAGGACAAAGAAATTCCGTTTGCTCAAACCATTGACTTCCTTGTGTCCCAGTGATTTTCCCCACCACAGTTCTGGTGGCCGTGGTGGGAGTAGTGGGGGAGCCCTACACCCCAGGGGCTGTCCCAGCGGGTGCAGAGGAGGGCTCTGTGTCGCCTGCAGCTGCTGTCCAGGTGAGGGGAGAGGTGCAGTCCGCTCACTCTGCAGGATTGTCCTGGATGTCGGGTGGGGGTCTAACCTGGAGGGCGCAGGTCAGAGTTTGCCCTCATTGCTCTGGCGAGGGAGAGTCCTGTGGGGTCATGTAAAGGGTAGAAGTTAGAGAACTTAATTTTGCCTCAAAAGCCATGTGGCCCACCGGAGAGTTTTCCCACAGTTTTTGGAAATGAGAAAGGGAATGTTCTTGGGCTACGCTCGGGTGCCTCAGATAGCTGGAGAGTGGGGGGTGTGTTTTGTGGTGGCCTGTCCCTTGGCTGGGCCATTCCATCACCAGTCGACCGTGACCCCAGGAGCCGGCTGGGCACGTTTCCTTCACCCCACCTCCCAAACTCCGCACGTTGTGACCAGCTAAGCATTGACCCCATCCGTTCTCACTGGGAAAGGTGCTGGGAGGGCGGGGGAACAGAGAAGTGTTTGAGGTCTGACCTTCCCTCCAGGGCCCTCTGAGACCCTTAAAGCATCAGAGAGCACCTGGAAGGAGAAGTTTCTGCTGACTGAAGGCCCAGGGCCCCAGTCTGACCAGCACTCCAGCTTCTCTCCCTGAGTCACAGTCCTAGAGGTCCCACCCTGGTGCAAGACCTTTCCCCTGGGCCTCACTCTCCTCCCAAAGCAGAGGAAAAGCCCAGAAGTGGGCAGAAGGCCCCAGGGGTGGGAGATGGCTCCACTCACCTAGGAGCCTTGAAAGGGTTCGTGGTTACCATTTGGGCCCTCGAGGCCCAAGCGCCCACCCTGAGCCCTTCACTCCTCTCCCCTCTCCTCCTCAGCCCTGGCGCCCCTCCTTTGTTGTGTCAATATTGACTGTGGAGTGCAGGGAGTAATGCTGGTTTCTTGAGGATGAACCCAGGCCCCTGTACCCAGGGGCTAAATTCCTTCTCTTGGTCTGAAGGAGAAGCTCGAGGAACAGGGATGAAGCCTGGTCCTCCAAGCCCCTGCTGAGTGAAACCTCACAAGGCCAGGAAGGCACTTGAGGGTAGACAGAAGACGTGCTCCTGGACAGGCCATGAGCACCCCAGGGCCTCTTCCAGGCCCCCACGATGCCCTCCCCCACTCTGGAGCCTCTGCGGTCTCTTCTGCCGGGTCTTCAGCACATGCCCGCCCCAGGGAAGCAGCCCAGCTGAGGTGGAGGAGACCGCAGGCTCAGCCCGGCTCCGACTAGGCAGTGTGGGAACCTGGGCAGCTCTCTTTCCAGGCCGAGTCAGAAAGGCTGAGAAAATCAGCTGTGGGCCCCAGAATACAAGTTTAGGGGCAGGACGGAGTGGGGGACCGGGGAGAGATTCAGCCTCTGATGATGAGGATTCTTATAATCCCTGAAAGTGTTGACAGCAGGGGACATGTCTGCCGTGCTCTCCAGGGAGCGAGGCCAGGAGAGTAGACAGTGGATAGGGACAGAAGAGCACCTGGGCCGGGCAGTGGGCTCAATCGGACTCCTACCTGACCCCTGAGTGCCGTCATTCAAGCTGCCGAGCTGTTTGTCCTGAGCTTGGGTGACCGAGGCAGCATCCTGCCAGACCATTTGTCCCAGAAAGAGAGCAGGTGAGGGCGAGTGCTCTGGGCATGGGGAGGACGGGCGCCAGGCGTGGCCGTTGTTGTCAGGGTTGCTTTTTATGCTGTTCACTTTTAACAAGTGTTGGTTGAGCCTCAGAGGGGTGCCCAGCCCCGCGCTGGACGGGAGGGTGGGGAGGACACAAGCAGAAGTGTGGTTCCCGGCTGGTCAGGGCCGTCCTCCCTGGCATGAGGGCTGAGGCGCACAGTTTTGACTTCATTGTGGACACGGTATGAAAAGCGGTTGGGGAAGGGGGAAAAGATACTGCCTGAGAGAAAAACTTGGCGTTCACAGAATAGAAACAACAGGCTGGAGACAGGGCCGTTATGTTTCCAGGGCTGTTCGCCTCTGCCATTTGGCTGGCACTGGCTTCCTTTTGGGCACTGCTAGCTGACCTGCTGGGGCTGGAGGAGATGGGCACAGGGGACCCCTGTCCTTCCTGACAAGGATGCAGGGCCACCAAACACCGACCTAGACTGTGCTGACACACTGGGCCCCCTATTCAGAGCTGAGTTAACCACCCAGGTCAGCCCCACACCGAGCCCTCCTATGGTCGGAGGCCAGGCATTCTCATAGCTGCTTCTTCACCTGCTGTCCCCAGAGAGCTGGGGAAGAGGCCTCGTGTCCTGCCCTGGTGTGAGGCTGTGGATGGTGTAGGACCTGGCATTCTGTCCAGTATTTGGGCCAGCAGCTTTCAATCCAAGAGAGAGGGGACTTGCTGCGGCTGAGGGAGGAGAGGCCCTTGGAGGGGGCAGCTGCTCCCGGCCCGTGCCCTCAACATCATCCAGGTGGAGGCAAGCTGGGCCAACAGCAGGGGACCCCGGAGTCCCCGAGGGAGTAGGGAGAGGGCCAGGCTGGTTTGGCCTTGCCACATTCCCCAGCTGTGGGCGGGTGATGAGAGGCCACAGTGGCCGCGCCGCCTTGCCGGAAACATCTAATTAGGGGACAGAGAGCAGCCCAAGCAGGGCCCAACCAGTTCTGCTTCCTGCCTCCTGCCACTCAGTGACACCCAGTGACAGGAGCGGCACGCCAGCGAGCACTCCCTGTGCGTGCGGCAGCAGCAGGGACACGCTCACGGGGGTGGCAGGAAGACAGGTTTGGCGGGGCGGGTGGGATGAGGCCAACATCCCCACCCTAGCAGCCATGTGGCCACCCGTCCGGCCTCATCTGCCCCTGGTTCGGGGTGGAGGCAGCACAGAGGCCGGAGCAGGCAGGCCCCCTCCCTGTCCCAAGTTCCTCAGCACCATCATTTCAAGGTTTCCGTGGAATAGGAGAGGCAGACACAGGAGACAGGCCTCCTCCCAAGGTGGAGTGGATCCTTGGAACCCTGACCATGAACCCCTTGTTTAGTGGAGCTAAGGGAGCCCAGAGCGTGAACCTGTTAACCCTCACCGGCTGTCACTCCCTCTGCTGCTCTGTATGCAGACAGGCGGTGTGGCCGTTTTGGGAGCTTCCCTCAGGCTCTCCGATACTGCAAGACAGAAGAGGGTAGAGGTTCCTGTCTGTCTCTAGCTGGATTGAGAAATGGAAATTGTCATTCAGCTTTGAATTCTCGGCCAAGACCTCCAATAGCTGGGAAACTGGCATCAGAAACTGCCAACACTCTGACCCACCCCTGTCCCTGCCCCCCAAGCCCCATCCCATGAGCATAGACAGCCGTCACTACGGGAAGACGAGAGGGACCCCGAGAGCCTGGGCCTGATGTCCATGCCAGCTCAGAGGCCAGGGCCAGGCGCTGGTGAATCAACTCCTGGAATGAGATGGCTCATTAAAGTCCCTGGACAGACGGACGCCAGTGCCAGTAGAACGAGTTCTGGGCGGCGGGCAGGCGCATTCTTCCCATCAGACCTTTGTTGTGTTTTGAAGGGGCAAGAGCCGGGGCCTCTCGCGAAACTTCAGTGCTATCATATTCACCCTCCTCCATTAGTCCATTCCTCTGCCGGCCCCCATCCCGGTCCTCTGCTTGGACCTCATGTCGTGGGGGAGGAGGTGAAGGCAGCAGCCTTCATGCCCTGGGGCCGCCCCTCCCGGGGTCCTGTCCAGTCCGTCTCACCAGCTCTGGGGCGGCGGGTGCAGAGGGCCTTGTGCACGGGTCTGAGACCCTAACTCGACCTCCTGAGTTCCTCTCCCTAAAGCTCACTCATCCTTTCTCTCCGAGGCCCCTCTTGATTTTTCCTTCTGAGGCTTGGAGAATGTTCCTAGTGATGGGTTTTAAGTACAGAGCTTAGCGTTTTTGGAAGAAAAATCCTGACGAAATTGAAACATTCGATTGCTTGCCCCAGCTCTGTTGGCCTTGAGACTTGTCTCCTCTGTGTCGCTCAGAACTCTTCCTCCTCCTCTCCAGTCAGGCCCAGGGCCAAGCCTCCCCGGCCCCGTTCAGTGTGAGGTGTCTGTTGTGGGGAGTGGCCGCAGCAAAGGGCTGCCAGGTATCGGTGCCGTGCAGGGGACAGGCGCCCAGCCCTCCCTGGGCCACGGTGAGCGGTCCCTGCCGTGGGGGAGGCTTGCGTAACCGCAGGCAGGCCGCCCAGGAGACTGTTACACCGCATCCACCTGCTGCTCCCTGACCTCCTCCCTGCCCCACCCCACCTGGCCTGTTTGCCTGCCAAGCTGGGCCAGCGGGAGTGGGGAGCCTGGAGCCCTGATGGGCTGCAACAGCAGGAACAGGCCAGCCCGGAGGAGGAAGGGGCCAGGACCACCCCATCCCCTGAGGCCAGCAGCTAACTCTGCCTGGAAGAGAGGTCCCCAGTGGCCCAGACCACCAGGGACCCTTCTGGGGCAGGGATGAGTCCCTGGGCCCAGGGCCTCCTGTGGTGCCCTTTGTCCCTACAGGAGTGTAGACGAGGCCTGGAATCCAGAGAGACTGGCCCAGGTGGGGCAGGTAGACAACTCCAGAGGGATAATTGGCAGGGCAGGTTCCGTCCTCCCAGTTCCGCTAAGACACAAATTACTCAGCGGGCAGGCCTGTGGGCCGTGGCGCTTGGCTGGCGTCACCTGTAATTACCTTAATGGGGAGGGAGGGAGGTGCAGCATGTGGTGGGCTGGGGGTAGCCCTGCTCGGCCACATGCCTGCAGGGGGCGGGACGGATGCCCCAGGTTCCAGCCAGCTCATTGCCAGGGAACCTTCCTGAAATCTGACTGAATCCTCTTTTCTCCACCAAGCCTCTCACCTGGCTGTTCTTCTCTCTGCAGTCAGCCTGGGCTTCTGCCCACCACAGCCCTACCGGGAGCCAGAGCCATCAGTGGCTGAACCCCCTTCTTGCCCCCTGGCTTTGGACATGAGCCTTCGGGACTCTGGCTACAGTGTGGCCCCTGGGCCCTGCGTGGTGGCCCAGCTGCCCTCTGAAGACATGGGCCGCTTGGCAGACCCCCAGAGCAGAGACCACAGCTTCCTGCGCACCAAGATGAAGGTACTGACCTCACACTGTCTCCGAGGACTAGGGGCACGTGTGTAGACCTGTGTCCGGTCCATAGGATTGGCACAAATGAGGCCCAGGCAGAGGCTGGCCTTGGGTCTGGGTTCGGGTTTCTGCAGAGAAGTAAACCCAGCTGGGGCACAGATGGGGGGCGGAAGAGGAGAGGAGGGGGTCTGAAGTGAGAATGTCCTGCATTGGGAAGAAGCAGTGGGATTCAGAAAACACTGAACCCTTTGGAGTCCATTCTGGTCGTTGTTTAGTGTCATTTCTGGCCTTACGGGGAGCCACGTCTTTGCACAGAAGTCCTAGGAAAAGTGGGGAGATGTGAGGCAGCTCGGCACCTTCTCCTGAGCCCCATCCGAGCTGCATGGGGAGTGACGCCTGGAGTCCGCTGGGTGGTTAACTGTCCCCAAGGTGTGTGCCCAGCAGTGTCCACCTTGCCTAAGTGCCGCCTCCAGCCCCATCGGCACTCGAGGCCGTGCATCTAGGGCAGGCCTGTGAGCAGTCCTGCTGCGCTCAGCCGCAGAAGCAATAAGAAGTGCACGAGGCAGTAGAAATGCCCCTGCTTTCAAGGAGAGTGCAAACAGCAGGGCTACCCCTGGCTGCACCTGCATTCTGGAAAGCTCCGGGAACAGGAAGCACCTGCCAGCAGTGAGCGGAAGGGTTCTCGTAGAGCTGTCCTGTGTGCCAAAAGACTGCAGAAAACTGGCAGCGGAATGCTGGTCCTTCCTCTCTTACCTGCGGAGGCCAAGTGTATGTTGTAACGGGAGGGGAACCACTGAGAAACCTGCTGGGCAGTTGGCTGGAGAGCCAGCACAGGGCCCCTGATCCCCCACACGCCCTTCCTCCCACCCCTTGAAACCCAATGGGAGAGTGTGGGGAGAGGGCAGAGGGCACAGGACAGCAGATGTGCCGGAGGAGTAGTCATGACCCAAACGCTCTTGCTTAGCTAGCAGCAAGGGGCATTCACCCGGTGCCAGAGCAGGACAGAACGAGGAGGTGTGGGGTGACAGGGTGCACCTGGTGCCCAGGGAGCTCGGGAGGAGTTGCTAGCGACCTCCGAACATTAACAGAGGTGGAGCATCGAGGCCGCGTCTCCGCTTCTGAATAGATTTGAGATTTTCCATAATTACAAAAAAAATGAAAAATGTTCATCAGCAAGAGTCATCAGGGTGGCAAAGGGACTCAAACCATACCACGTCAGGCCTGGCCCAAGTAAACCAGGCAGCTGGGCTGCAAAGGGACTCCAGGCTCACAGTGGTAGCCTCAGCCTGGGAAGGCTGCCACAGAGACCGTGTCGTGGACATTTCCCCCTGTCCTAAGGCGTAGAATGAGAACAGAGAGCAGAAACCACAGGGAAAGATTTGGGCTCAATGAAGGGAGACCGTTCTAACAGGTAGGGTTGCTGACGATGAATCAGGCTGTTTGTATAGGGAGTTGACTATCCATCTCTAGCTGGTAAAGAAGGGTTGGGTGGTGACCTTGAAAGGGGACTTGGACCATTGACCCAAAGGTTCCTTCCAGCCCCACCACTGCTGATCTCTGTGAGCAAACGGCACAGAGGTGTGGCCTCTGGAGGATGGGGATGGCTCTCCGGGGGGCTGAGGGCTGGCACTGGTGTCCTCCCAATCTCCCAACCTGTAGCCCCAACTCCTGGGCATCTGTCAGAAACACTGTCCTCATCTACAGGTGACCCTGGGGGACAGTCCCAGTGGAGACTTCTTCACCTGCCACATCTGCCAGAAGGCCTTCACCTACCAGCGCATGCTGAATCGCCACATGAAGTGTCACAATGACGTCAAGAGGCACCTCTGCACCTACTGTGGGAAGGGCTTCAACGACACCTTCGACCTGAAGAGACACGTGCGCACTCACACTGGTAAGAGGAGCCCATGCTTGGGGGCAGCACCACCAGACCCCACCCGGCTGGGGCCACGTGGGAACTGCAGCAAGCCCTGCTCTCTGGCAGCGGGTGGCCTGGGAGGGGCATCTTGGAGCTCGGGGCAGCCCTCCTCATCAGCTGGGTCACTCAGGGAGCTGGAGTTGGGCAGCCTCCGTCCGTTCCTCTCCCCAGAGTCAGGTGGCCCGGCCTCTCTGTGTGCGAGAAGCTGCTGACAGGCCCTCCGTCAGGTCCCTAACGCCTGGCCCTGTCCTCCCCCCAGGTGTGCGGCCCTACAAATGCAGCCTGTGCGACAAGGCCTTCACGCAGCGCTGCTCCCTGGAGTCTCACCTCAAGAAGATCCATGGCGTGCAGCAGAAGTACGCGTACAAGGAGCGGCGGGCCAAGCTGTACGTGTGCGAGGAGTGTGGCTGCACGTCTGAGAGCCAGGAGGGCCACGTCCTGCACCTGAAGGACCACCACCCCGACAGCCCTCTGCTGCGCAAGACCTCCAAGAAGGTGGCCGTGGCCCTGCAGAACACCGTCACCTCCCTGCTGCAGAGCAACCACCACCTCTGAGCGGCAGGCCCCGGGAGGGCTGAGGGTCACCTCCCTGCTGCCTGGCCAGTCCCCCTCCCACGGCCCTGGCCGGGACACCGGCACTCAGGACTGGAGCCCCCAGGCACGCGTGCTCACTCAGGCCCTGCACTGACCTCTGCTCACGTTTGCCTTTTTGTCCTATGAGCAGAGGCCGCTCCGAGCCTGGGCAGACGTGTGTGAGTGTGGGGCAGGGGTGAGCCCGGGGCTGCCTTCGACTTGAAGCAGCATACCTACAGAGACAGGACTTCCTTCCCAGAGGAGGTACGTGAGGAGGAGGTACGTGAGGGTGACCCTGTCGCCTTCTGTCTCTGGAGCACAGGGCGGGGGCTGCTGGTCCCCGTGGACGGTAGAGTCCGGAGCACTGGCAGGGAGCACCCCTGCCAACAACAGCGGTGGAGGAGCTGGCGGCGGCCCGCCTGGCAGTGTTTCGAATGCCCAGGGCTGCGGGGGCTCTGCCCCTCCGACAGGGAGATGCACGCGTGTGCGCCGCTGTAGGCGTGTGTGCGCGCACACATGGGGGGCCTTTCCACATATCACCTCATTTTTAAGAAATCAACTACAAGGTGCCAACGAGGTTTTATTTTCTTTTTTTAAAGATAACAAATGTACAGATATTAATATATTTTGGTGCCGATGGCATTACTATTTTTAAGCGAGGATGGAGCTGGCTTTTCTCCCTCCCATGCAATTCTATTTATCCTGGACATTTCACACCTCCTCTGTGCCTTGGCTCTGGGGTGGCTGCCCTGACCCACCCCCATCCTTCGTACCTCCTGAGATGTTTAACCTAAGACCTTCCTCCGGCCTGGCCTGGAGGACGCGCTGTGCCGTCTGTTCTTCCCCGTCTGCCGGGACAGCACCTCGTCTCCTGCTCTTCCCTCCCCCATGGCTCTGCCTCCCTCCCGCATCCTTCCAAGGCAAGCCTCTCGGGGTTACGGAGAGCCTCCTTGTCTCCTGGTAACAGACCTTTTGTGGAACAACTCACCCTTCCGGAGGTCGAGGGTTTGTCCAGCGGCGGCTTCAGGGCTGAGCCAGGTGGATGATTGGTCTGACACGCCGAGTCCACGGCCTGAGGTGCTGAGAAGAGCCGGGCCAGGCTGCGGACGTGCTCTCTTCCTGGCTGAGTCAGAAACGCTGGGACAGCAGCAAAGCATTGGAACAGAATAATAACCAGACACATCAGAGACCTCGAGAGGGAGGACAGTATTCGACGGCTAACGAGTTCTATTTGTAGCCTTTTTTCTGTTTTTCGAATGGCTAGGCTGGGTCTCCAGCACCTAGGGCTCCATCTGAGGGACTTGGCCAGGCTCCCTTGGTGTGGCTGGGTTTCCTGCTAATAACAGGTGTGGGTCAAAGGGAGACACGGGCAGGGGTTGGAGCCAGCCTGCCAAAAAGTGAGAAGGCAAACTCGAAAGAGGTCCACACCACCACAGGCTGGGCCGCCCCGGGAAGCCAAACTCCTGCAGATCCAGCCTTGGCCTCCCTGCCTGGAAGGAGCAGCATCTGCACAGCCCCGGGGTGAGGGAAGGAGCCTCTCTGACTTCCCTGAATGGGGACAGACTGTTTTGGAAGACTTGTTTTATTTTACTTTAGAGTGTGTGGGAGCTGCTGTATTCTGGAAGTTATATGGTATAAAATAACACTATTTGGAAGCTCTGTTTTGTTTACATTTCTGTATCCCTGTATTCATTGCCAATCTGAGGGAGTCACAGGGCTCTGTGTTGTCTGTTTTATTTTATAACTTTCCCCCCAACTATTAAAATCAAAGAACCATCGTTTTCTGCTTTTCTGTATTACAAGCCTCTTTTTCCCCCTCCAGGGAAATTAATCCAAACAATCGCATTCTATTCAAAGCTTTGCCCTTTTATGCTTACCAAGGGCCTCAAGTCAAGACAAGAACATGACCCAGAAAGACTGAGTGGCCTGCCGACCCCTGGGCCACCCTCTGCTCTTGGCAGCTGCATCCCCCAGGCTTTCTTCACCTGCCTGATGCTCCCACACCCCGACTCATGGCTCTCCACCGGGCCGGTGCAGTCACTCGGGGTCCAGTCTTGGCTTCTCTTCCCAGCACCCAGCCAGGACCACAGGAGGAAGAGCCGCATTCCCAAATAATAGGGCACAAAGTTCGCGTCACTTCCGCGTCAGACTCCTGGCTATAGGGACGGCCACACTTGCACAGCGCTTGTTCTGTGCCAGGCACACTCGTAAGTGTTTTACACATATCAGCTGGCTTGATCTTCCAGCCACCCTCTGAGGGAGGGGCCGTTATCACCACCCGGCAGAGAGAAGCTAGGTAGCTGGCCCAAAGTCTCACGACTAACTAGTAGTGGAGCTGGGATCCAAACCAGACCGCCTGGGTCGGGGTCTGTGCTTGGAAGCACTGCGCACAGCTGACAGAGAGCCCAGGAGACAGCAGGGCACCTCCAGGCATTTCAAAGTGCAAGGACATTTAGAGATTACCTGGCCTCTCCATCACCTACCCAGTATCACTCGGGGAGACCTGATCACCCGGGGGACCCTGGTCCCCGAGTCCCAGTTCAGTGTTCTTCCATCACGCCCCTGCCAGATGGATGGTGTAGAGGAGGAGGGCGCTGCCAGGCCTGGACCCTTGGCGTGCTGTTCCGGGAGGCGTGAGAAGGGTTGGTGCTCTTGTGCTGGGAGGAGAAAGGAAAACATTGATCTGACCTCCACAGCTCCCTGTGAGAAGCCCAGAGGATGGAAAAGGGCCCTTAACCCTCCTGAGGGCTCTTTAAACAGCCAGGCACAGAGGATTTCTCTGTATCTCTACAAGCCTCCCAATGTGAAAGGCCAACCACATCCTATCTTTACACATCCCACAGTGAGCAGAGCCCATTGTTGGGAACCCAGATGATTAACCGCTATGTAAACTTCAGGAGGAGCCGGGGACAAGCTTCCAGAAAGCCATGAATGGGGTGGGGGGAGGGTTCCCGGGCTCCCTCTACACCTCTGCTCTCTCCCACTCCTCAGAAGAGCTCCAGGGTGGGACACCATTCAGATGAGCCTTTCCCTAGCGGGGGCAGGCCAGAGGGTCACATTTCTAGGGCCCGTAATGATCTCCAGACTGTAGGATGGGTGCTTTGAGGGAAACAAGCAACGTATGGGGGCCCTCCACTGACTGGGAAACAGATTACCACAAGTCAATACACAACCAAGGACAAATAGTGTGTCCAGACTACAAATACTACGGAACCCAAAAAGGAGTCTTCGGCATCTGAAAGATGAAAGACTTCTTGGAAGAGGTGGGGTCCAGCTGGGCTGGAAACATGGGAGGATCTGAAAAGAACAAAAGAGAAGGGAAGGTGTTTCAGGGAGGGAAAGAGTGGGATCAGACCCAGAAGAGAGGCGGTATGGGCAATGCGGTGGGCAGGGGTCCCACCATTTCCATCAGCAATCTGGATGGGGTGGCATTCATTCGGCCACACCCTGGGCATTTTTTGAGCCCTTCCCAGGTGCCAATAAGAAGAACGGATAACAAAACAAGATTCTGAGAGATAGGAGAGCTGGCTGGGACCTAGCAAGATAGCCTGATGGAAAACGAAGGTAGAGTCCTATTTTTACACCTAAAAACAATGCAACCAAGTGCAGGGTGGGGACACCTTTACAACAGGAAGTGCTATGAACATTTATACTTTATATTTTTATGTATTTTCTTATTTTTTTACGATGAGCATATATTATTTTTTACAATCAGAAGAAAATAACGTTATAAAACAATTTAGGAGTTTTAGTCGCCTTGAAGTTCAACATGTCAACAGGGAGATGGGGCTGCCCCCCCCAAAAAAGCTAATATGATTGTGGACAATAACAGAAGTGTGGCGTCAACAACCAAGATCACTTCCCTCTGCTTTGGGCTAGTCACCAGTCGGTGGGTGGCAGGGAAAGAGCAGTGGCCTAGAATCAGGAGACCAGCCCTGTCTCATGCTGTCTGCGTGGCCTTGGGCAAATGACCAAACCTCTCAGTTTCCTCACCTATAAAACGAGGTGGGTTCCTCAGTTCAAAAGTCCCTTTCTGTTATAAAGACTTTATGTCTCCAGGTCCCTGGCTCCATAAAACCCTTAAAGAAACTTCTGACAAACTACAGTGGAGACGAGGAGGCGCTCAAGGTTGAGAAGGTGCTCTGTGAGTGGAGAAGACTGACAGCATGGCTGCTTGCTCAAAGCAGACGGAAAAGACTTGTTCCAGGTGATTCCAGCGGGCAGAACCTGGGCCAACAGGTGAGAGTTAGAGGTGAGCAGAGCCCGTTGTAGGGAGCCCCAGCATGGCTGAACCACGGAGCGGCTGCTGGGGAAGCAGGAACCTCAGGCGCTGTCACTGGAGGGCTGCTGGCCGGGGCTGGGAAGCTGTTTGTCAGGAATTTCTAAAGAGACTCCATCATGGGACTGAAGGCTGGACAAAATAATCTTTGAGGCTCTTTCCACCCCCGAAATTCTAAAAGGTCAGGCCAACGTGCAATGGTCATGACTTCCAGGCCTAATCACCATTCCCAAGAAGGCAGAGCCAGGGAGAAAATGCTAGTGAACAGAATGGAATGGAAAAGAAAACACTGGAAAGAGTGAGACCAGTTGGGAGGTTGTTCCTGTCCTCTGGGCTTGGGGTGATGCAGACCTGGACTTAGTGTGGAAAGGGGCTCACCCCTCACTGCCGCTGGCTCTGCATCCTCTGGGCCACCTAGCACCAGTCCGCTCCCTCAAGTGATGACAGCCACCTGACCCAGGATGTCCTACCCTCTCCATGTACAAGACCAATCTGCCCTCCTTCATCCCTCACGCCAGCCCCCCTCCCAAGTTTCTAGAGTCTGTTTTGACCTCCATCCCCCATCCCCCAGGCTAACACCTCCCAGCTTTTTTAGTTCCTGTGACCTATCAGTCAATTCCTCTCAATTCTCCCTCTGAGGTTGCCCTCCTTGCCTGGCAGCTCTCCTCCTGGGCAGCAGGCTCACTGACCCTGGGGGCTCAGGTCCCCCGCCACT